TCTGTATAATTTACAGTGGTTTTCTGACAAAGATTTTCCTACATTGGGCTTCTTTCCTGGGTGGATGTTTTACTAATTGCTGAAGGTTGGCTTCTGGTTGAAATTCTTCCTCATATGTTTATATTTACAGAAATTCTGTCATGTGTCCAGGTCTCTGATAACTGTAGAGATGTGACTTCTGGCAAAATGTTTTCTATACTCATAATTCCTCTCCTGTGTATGATCTCACATATGCTGAGGACTCACTTCTGATTGAAAGTCATTTCAAATATGATCTATTCACTAGAATATTCTGGAAGCATGGCTGGGATATAAGAGAAATGATGAATTCAGAAATGAATCGGTGAGATTTTGGACCCAGAATTTTCTCTTGCAAACATGATACATGTGATGGAAAACCGTAAAGCCTTCTTATAACAGAAGAATCTTTAATGTCTCAGACAGAACATTGAAGTTTCCAATAAACACAAATCCAGTCCATTTCCTGGTAGATAGATATTATTAAACCAACTAATTTTATGTTTATATACACACTAAATTCAAACAAATGAATGCTCCTAATGAAATTATTGAATAATTGAAAGCAAAAACATACCATATTTCCACTAAAAGTAGTTATTACTGAATATACTTCAGGATGTATGAACTGCTTTTTTTAATGTAAAAGTATCCTAGGAATCCATTGGAATTTGTGTTGTACCTCATTCATTTACATATTTAAACACCAGGGAAAGCATGTATGATGTAACTCAGTAGTTTTCACCCAAAGATAGAGCGAAAAATGTATACAGAATATATTTCTTGTGTTATAATATTTCAATCATGGCTGTCAAATTGCACATTTCATTGTACCCATTGCACACCCATGCAATGATTTGCAATTTGCCATTTCACATGCTTTGGCCAAAGGGACATGAGTAAAGATGAGGTAAACCCAGGTTTGAGAAGTCCCTAATGTTCATTTCTCTAAACAGTCATGGGAAGAACCTTGGCCATCCTAAAGATACAACATAAAATACTCCATATAGGTGTGACAAACCTGAAGACAAGCAACACCTACAAAGCATACAACCTTGAGTAAGCCATATTGCCTCAAGTTTTCTTATGTGAATTTTCTTTTAAGGCCAAATGTCCCTGACCAACACTTTTGCCACTACCAGGCACAATCAACCGATTAGAGCTAGCATTAGCAAACCCATACATGGGACATTTAAGATAAGAATGCATGATTACATACTAAAAATCATAGTGGTAAAAGTCTGAATAAATTAGCAAGAAGAGGATTAGGGTCTAGTACATGAATAGATACTTTCACTCATAACAATTACCCCACCATAGCAAACCACAGCCTCAGGTACACTCTGAAATCTAGGCTCTGGCTTATTCCCCAAGCCAGCTCATCACGACTCCTATAAATTAGTTACAATCTTGCAACAACACAAAGTGATTGAGAGTGGTGTAGGAAAGAGTACCACGTGAATCTGGTGCTCAGGGAAGTAGCTACAATTTTTGCATAAGGCAAGGGAAGCTAGCAACATCTTCCCATTGCTGTGATTTTCTGCTTCTTCCAATTAGGGCTTCTCAGAATTGACAAGGTCTGTCCATTTAGGATAGAGATTCCTATTCATAGGGTGCTCTGCTTCAAACATTGCTAGGTTTCATTCCTAAAAACACAGGACCAGCACTCAATACTCCAATATCCCATATACAATTGTCGCTAGAGACAGGGTCCTGTACAAACATGTGTGAATTCAAGCCAGGAGATTAAAAACCCAAGCCAAACAGATTAAAATATCTCTAGGAGAAACAACACAGAAGCCCCAAATACAACTGCAATGTAAGAGGACTCAAGGCAGGCATACACCTCACAATTTCACTAGAATTCTTCCTGTACTCCTCTTACAACTAGGCAAAGCAAATAAAGTCATATGGATTAATAGAAGAATCCCTTGATCTTGGAATTCAAATGCACAGCTCTTGGGCTCTCCTCATCTGCAGAATCACCCAGCTTGCTCTTAGACATTTGGGAACCAGGTTCTTGCAGCTCAGGGCCCAGAAGCTAATGGCAGCACAAACTCCTGAACCTCAAGCAAATTATCAACCCTAGACTGGAGAAAAGCATAGAGGGGGAAGTAGGCGCTTAGGCTCAAGTATAAAGCTCTCCTTTTGAGCTCCAGCTCAGGAATGGTGCTTGCAGGCTCAGAGTTTAAGCCCCACCAATGACTAAAATAACAGAAACAGAAAAAGAAACTGAAAACCGTGGAGGGTAGACTCTTGCAGCAATCGCACAGTTCCTACCTGACATCAGTTCCAAAGCCTGAGATTCCTTCAAGTAATGGCTCCAAAGCTCCACTGCACAGAGCTGAGCGCTGGCCTCCTGGCTTCCACCTATAGAAGGCCAAACTGTACTTCAGGGCACTTCCAGCAGCAAGTCAAAGAGAAATAATCCGGAATATGCAGACTTAAAATGCCCGTGGTGGACGGGGAGATGCATGGGCAAAATGACCTTCGGCCCCACCTCTGCCCTCCAAAAAACAAAAACAACCCAGGACTTTCAAGAAAATGTCCGACGTGGAGACTACAATTCCCACAATGCTCGGCACCACCCTGGTCACAAGAATGCTTGTATGCATTGGGACTTTTCTCTCCCTGCTGTGGGAGCTAAGATAAGTTTTACTTGAAAAGCACAGTTGCCTTCCTGAAATATTGTAAGATCAGCCACAAAATGTAAATAAATGGGGAGAATTGGATACATTGACTGTTTGATTCTTAGTTCCAATAATGAAATTGAGTTTATGTGACTGTAATGCTTCTACCTCCCTTTTTGTTCAATTCCTGCGTTCTGCTGAATGTAAATTACATCTCTGTTTTGCCTTAAATTGTTTAATACCTCCCCTCCCATCTTGCAAAGGTACTCACAGACACTGAACTTATACCAGGTCATTTCCCATTGCTATAATGTACACACGGGTATAGAATAGGAAGATTGTTTCATGGATATGCAGCATAATCCTTGTGCTGATTTGGATTTTGCAAAAATCTAACAATTAATTTTCCAGACAATCCTCATTTCTATCTATTAAATCAAAACGAGGTTTTGGTTGTTTCTGAAGTTTGCTTTTCATTTAAGAGTGTTATGTTTTTTTCTTTTTGCTATTGGTCTTGAGGCTTGCACTCAGAGCTTGCACACTATCTGTGAGCATTTGCTGTGCTCTATTTGCATTTCCTTTAATAATTTCTTCAGGTAACTAGTGAAAAGTTTCCTCACAGGATTCTTAAGAACAGGGCACATTACCCTCATTTTCCTACAAAGAGAGTGTTTTTGGGGGGTCAGAAGGAATGCAGGTGGGTAGAAGAGTGAAGTTTAGGGTAGGTCTATGTTGATATGAAGCTTAATCACTTGCAAACCAGTCTGATTTTGAATTTTCATTTTGCATGTGAAAATCTCTTTAGAATTCTTACCTCCTCTCTGATCCTAATAGTTCTTCTCAGTAGCTTTAGGCTACATATCTAGGGGACCTCAGACTTGTCTTCTCAGACCTTATCCATTAAGCTGTGGAATAAATCTTTTGTCTCCTGCCACAGTCCCATAAGAGCACAATCAAGGCTTTTGTGGGCCTATGGGATGATGATTAAAGAGACAGAGATGGCACAATTCTGCTATAATTCTCAAATGCTTGTGTAATATTGGTCTAGGCACACTGCCTAAACGTGTAAACAGCACACATTTTCCTCATTCTATTTCAATCTATCTTTTCCACCAAAGACTCCCTTCACTTAAAGCCCCACCCCAAACAGCTAGAATACAGACTTCCTCAAACCAAGAAAGAGCAAGGACTTGCAGTCCTGAAGGTGGGAGTCAATGGCCCTGAAGCCTTTGCTCACAGTTTGCCTGTTCCTGGCAGGCACCCCAGGGTCTGCAACATTCTCTCTCTCTCATAGTCAGAGATCCTACACGTGACTCCTAAAGGTTTCTTGTGATTTTGGGTGATCCTTTACATACAACATAATTGGGATGGATTGGATTGGAAACTTTCATGCCAGATTTTAGTTCTTCAGTGTATGGGTTTTGCATGTCCGTTTTGTGGAGCTGACCTATTCCTCATGAAAATGGGAATCAAAGGACATATTTGGATGTATAGACTTCAATTTAAAAGCACTTCTAATACTACAAAGAAAACCTAATCTCATTCTGTAAAATAAATTCCTGAGAGGCAAGGAGAAATGAATCAGGAAAAAATGGAGTGCTTCCAAGACTACCTGTGTAGTGTAGTTTTCATTGTTCAAGCCTCTATTTCTGGTGCATTTATTTATTCTTGTATCCCCCTTTTTTTTTGTTCAGTCATGGCACTTGTCCTCTGAGCCTGGGAACCATCTCTGAGCTCAAGTGCTCTACCATGTGAGCCACAACACACTTCCGGATTTCTAGTGTTCACTGGAGATAAGTGTCTCACACATGTTTCTGACCACGCTGATTTTGAACCTAGATCCTCAGTTTCAGCTTTTTGAACAGCAAGGATTACAGACATGAGGCACCATCACCCAGCTTGCATTTGTTGTGTTTTATGTCCCAACCCTGGGGCTTGAGCTCAGTGCATGGACAGTCACTGAACTTCTTTTGCCCAAGACTAGCACCCTACTACATGAGCCACAATTCCACATTCTGCTTTTTCTGTGCATGTGGTAGTGAGGACTTGAACCAGAGCTTCATGCATGCTAGGTAAGCATACTACCACTGCTGGGGGCCAGCCACAACACCATCAGTGGTATGCAAGAACAAGGGGATGATAATGGAAGAGACAGAGACAAAGCCAATGATGAATCTCTCTTTATTTCAGCAACAACCTTAGTCTGTCCAGTGCTTGCATCACTTTGTTGTAGGACTCAATGTGGCAATAACTGCAGATCATATGCATCCTTCCTCATTCTACTTCAACCTTTGTCCACCAAACTCCTACAGGTAAGACCCCAGGCCCAGAAGCTGAAAGGAACACTCCCTCCTATGAAAAGGGCAAGTACTCATAGCCCTGAAGGTTGCAGTCCGTGCTTGTGGAGCTTTTGCTCACACCTTGCCAGCTCTGGCACCTCCGGGTCTGCAACATGTCCTTCTTTTTATTTTGTAAATTGAGCAAGTGTCTATCAGCCTGAACCTGGAAAAAGCAGCAGATCATACATATCAGGAAGAATGGAACAAAAAGGAATACCAAAACAAGAAACAGAAAAATGCCTAAGAAATGGTAAAAGGAGTGCTATTTCCCAGGTTGAATCCCTGTAGATAATGGTGAACTGATGCAGCTAAGTCTGCAGGGTGTGCTACCTATAGGGTGGAGTGACCAATATCAGATTTCTGACCCTGAAGCTGCATAATGTCTAAGCTTTAATTATCAAAGGACCAGATTCCTCCAATATGTCACTGGCTATTGGTCCAGTCATATTTCCATCTTATTTAAGAGGGATAACACAGATGTACTAACCAGTAGCATGACACATCATTTTTAACTGGGTCTTTAGCAGGTCTACCTGATTATCAACATACATCATTGCTGTTTCCTAATCATGAAACCTATCACAATCTTTTTATCTACAACCACCTTCATCCACGGGCACCAGAAACAAATCAAGCTAAAGTATTAACATGTTGTGCTGTATATATGGCTTGGATAAGTTCCACAGTAGAAGCAGTAGCACTAGCAAGAAGAGTTAGGGTAGCAACGAAGATTCCCCAAAATCTGCAGCAATGGCTAACAACCCCTTACAACTCAATAGCAAACAGAGACCCAAACTTATTATAGCATCATGGTACTATCAACTGAACAGGCATCACAAGTTAAGTAATCTCAGAGTACTTATGCAGTTAATGAGAACACAATTAAGAGGCATGATAAACCACCCCACTCTTGAAAACCATACCCAGCCCAACTACCAGCATGTATGGATACATAACACAAGCCCGCACAATAAATCATACAAAACCATGAAACAGGACAGGTCTCTGAAACAGAGGTATGGGATGAAGAGAGGCATTAGTCGAAATAGGCCTCAGCAGCAGCCAGTTGCAGATGTCAGGGTGAGCTTGTCCAAACAGGCTGACAAACATGGGGGCCAACAAGGTCCCACTGATCACGTCATTCCTCTGAGCCCAGTCCCACAGTGCATATTGGGAGACTTCCACCACCAGAACAGAGGACAAGATGTGAAATTCACAGGTTCTCAATAATCCACAGGCCCTGTATGGTGGCGGATCAGAGCAACCACTGGAATCACTGAGCATAGTGGAACCCAAATGGGTGCACCACATTCCCTGCCAAAGGAATTCTAGAAGTGTTATGCATAAGCTCCCTATATTTTCCATTCATTCACCATTTCCTCCAGAGGAAGTCAGAGCCATAATCTATCCCTGAATACCTTGCCATACTTGTACCTTCTACCTCAGCATCTGCAATAGTCAATCATTGAGATGAATGAAGGAGGAGGATATAATATTTGTGTAACAAATAATGAGACTTACGTCTGTGAGCAATGTACAATTCAAAAATAATGTAGGAAAGTAAACTAGGCCCAAAGAAACATAGGTCCCATGGTTTCCCTTATTTGCAATATCTAGTATATGTCTGAGTAAAGCAGAAAGGTCAGATAAGGTGATGTTAGAGAAATGAACCCTAAGATATGTATTCAAATGTTTTTTTTTCTTTCTTGCGATTGTTTCTAACACATTTATAAGATTATTTCTTTGTTGCTTTGTATGTCCTTCCCCCACAGTATAACCCCTGCTTTCACTGTATTTAATGTTGGTATAATTTGTGGAGGGGAAGCGGAAAAACAAATTGTTTAAATAGGAATACAGGTAGACCCATTGCAACAATGAGATGTACAAGGGGTTACATTAAAAACGAAATTTACAACTTTGGTGGGGGGAAAGAGGGGGAGCAGGGAGGATGGGTGGAGGGTTGTGGGGGAGGATGGGAAGGGATGGGAAGGGGGAAAAAGGAGGAGGCTACAATGCTTCACAAGAAATGTACTCATGGGGCTGGGAAGGTGGCTCAGTGGTAGAGCGCTTGCCTTGCATGCATGAGGCCCTGGGTTCAATTCCTCAGCACCACATAAGCAAAAAGCCGGAAGTGGCGCTTTGGCTCAAAGTGGTAGAGTTCTAGCCTTGAGCTGAAGAGCTGAAGGACAGCGCCCAGGACCAGAGTTCAGGCCCCACGACAGGACCCCCCCCCCCAAAAAAAAAGAAATGTACTCATTATCTTGACCACGTAATTGTAAACCCTCTGTGCAGTATTTTCACAATAAAAAAAAATAATGAAGGAAGTAAATTCTATTTATACTAGTACAATAAAGTTAATACTTAGAAATGAATGTTTGAAAAATCTACCCTTGAACAATGGAAACTATGTGACACAGCTAGTCTAGGAAGAACCCATTTTAACCTTATCCTTATCTCCTTGCCTCGCAGGAACTTACTTTTAACTTTTACAGAAAGAAAGAATTATTTTTCCTTCATATTTTGTAGGTGCTCCAATGTTGCCATCTATATAGCCATATGTGCCTCACGATCTCCATATTCATGAGGAATAGCTCACATCCACTAAAAGAGCCATGGAGAACCCATGCACTGGAGGACTGAATATTAGGCATGAATATTTCCTAGCAATCCTTCCCAGTCATGATGTGGGGGAAGGATCATCAACAATCACACCAAATCCTTAAGAGACAAGCTTAGGATGTCTGATATGAGGGAGGGAGGCAAATGGCTTATTCCACAGTGTAATGCATACAGTCTGGGAAGACAAGTCTGAGGACCACTGGATAGGTAGCCTAGAGTTGCTGCCAGAAACTTCTAGGATCAGAGAAGAGGTAGAAATCAAAACAAAACAGGATATGCAAAACAGAAAAGTAAAAGCAGACTGGTTTGGAGCTACTGATCAAGCTTCACATGAACATAGACCTACCCTAAACTCTACCTCCACCCACATGCACCCTGATCAACCTAGAAAACCATTTTTTTTGAAGAGTCTTGGAGGAGGAGTATGATTTTCTAAGAAACCACTGGGAGGAAACTTTTCACTAGTTTCCTGAAGCAATTAATGAAAGAAAGGCCAGTAGAGCAGAGCAAATGCTCACAGACAGTGCCCATGCTCTGACTTCAAGCCTCAGGACCAACAACAAAATGAGGGAAAAAAGACGTTTAAAGGAAAGGCAAATTTCAGACACAAATAACTAAAAACTACTTAAAATTTCATAGATGGAATTTGGGAGTTTCTGGGAAAATAATGAGGAGAGTTTGACAAATCAATTTAATTCAAAGATTATTAAGTATGTCTACCTTAAAATTCTGCTATTTTAGTCCAGTATATATATAATAAAATTAGAGAATTAGAATTAGAGAAGGGGAAATGATCCCAGAATCAATCAGTTAGGTGTCTGTAAATAGCTGATCGTGTGGTTTGAACTCTGGGCCTGAGCACACTCCCTGAGCTCTTCCCCTCAACGTGAGCTCTCCACAACTTGAGCCACAAGGTCACTTCCATTTTTCTGGTGGTTAATTGGAGATAAAGCTCATGCACTTTCCTGCCAATGCTGACTTTGGACCAGCATCCTCAGATCTCAGCCTCCTGAGTACCTAGGATTACAGGCATGAGCCACTGGCACCCAGTTGCAAATACCTTTTGAAAGTGAGAGGGGAGATATTCAAATTTTTAAGGCAAAACAGAGACATAATTTATATTCAGAGGTGCGACCGACCAGCTGGGCCAGAGCACTGGGACCTATGGGAAAGGGTTCTTGGGATAGGTGGGCAAGGAGTCGGCGAAGTGACAGACAGACAGACTCAAAAGAGTTGCATTTGAGTGTATCTTTATTGAGGAGAATTAACATTTTTATACGGCGTGTGTTTGTGACATAGATTCTTTGTTTATTTAAGCACGTAATCAATTTTTAAGAAAAGCAAAGCATTGATGGATTACGTGAAAATTGATGACTATCCCACCAACTGTTTAAGCTAAGTGGTGTGGAACAAGTCTAGCATACAGTTGAACGCATCATCTATTCAGCCATTTTTATGTTTAATAATTAACAAACCTAAGACAGGGCTGTACTTATATTGTACTCTATTTTTTTCATATATTTTCAAGTCCCTTTGAAACCATCCTAAAAACCTCTTCCAGGTTGAGTCAGGGATTCTCTGTTTTCTATCATTTTAATCCCAATATTTGTTCGCATAAATTTCTAACTATATTATTGTTGTTTTGATAATAAACACAATAATTGTCTAGATCTACCTAATCTTTGCATAAAATCTAGTAAGTTCCAAAATACCCTTTTTCCTTTTACATGAATCCATCTATTTTCATCTTTATAAGCTCCTGTATAAGGCAATGGTTCATCAGTTGGTTCAGGAAATGTGATGTCACTAAGTTTATATTTTGTGGGAATCCACCATCTATTCCCTATAATGTAAGCTGGACTAAACTTAATCATAACTGTTGGGGGAATATTTCTTTTCCTTTTATTATCAGGGGTCCCTTTTTCTAGAACTCTCTGAGCTTCTAGGATAACTCTTTCTAGGTTAGTTTAATTCATTAATTCTGCCTGTTGTAACATATCTGGAAATTTTGTTTCTGTACTTACTATGTGGGAGCCACAATACTGCTTGTGAAGTTGTAGGAGTGTCTGGAGGCAGTGTCACATCAGATGATAGATTGAATGTGGCATTGCCCACATTTAATCTTTGGTGCTAGTCTGTATTATTCAGAGAAGCCATCTCTATTGGACTGGAAAGAAACAACATGCTCTGTTCATGGATCAATAGAAAAATAGCCAAAACCAGAATAAAGGCAATGAATGTACATCCCAGAAGAATATAATAAGGATAAAGGTAGAGTCAGTAAAGGTTCAGCCAAGTTTGTAGGAAGCCTTGAACCAACATCCCCTTCCTGCAGGCATGCTTCTTGAAGCTTATGCTTTGCCTGGAGCATTTATACTGCATTTATACTCCTGAACCTAGAGATTCTGGTACTCACCCATGTGACTTTATAAACTTGCTTTTTACGAATTGAAGCTAATGAATGGTAAACATTCTTTCAAAATGTCTTATATAAACATATTGATCCTCTTTTCATCCTCTGCACTTCCTATGGCTTTTGAAACTTTCAAAATGTTGCTGGCACAGATATACTCCAATTAATGTGTCTGTTCTGACAAATTACAATTTCTCCACTCATATAATTAGCCTATTTTACATCACTTAAAATGAGAGAGACTGGCTGGGCAGGTGGTTCAGTGGTAGAGTGCTTGCCTTGCATGAATAAGTCCCTGGGTTTGATTCCTCGGAACCACATAAGTAGAAAAAGCTGGCAGTGCACTGTGGCTCAAGTGGTAGAGTGCTAGCTTTGAGTTTAGGAACTGAGGAACAGTTCCCAGGCTCAGAGTTCAGGCCCCACGACAGACAAGAGAGAGAAAGAGAGAGAGAGAGAGAGAGAGAGAGAGAGAGAGAGAGAGAGAGAGAGAGAGAGAGAGAGAGAGAGAGTTCCTATATATGCATTCCAAATCAATTCTTAAAATAGTTGAATACAATACAATGACCTTGCTATGTGTGTGCTTGTCCTGACTCTTGAACTCAAGGTCTTGAAAATGACCATGAAATTATTTGGTTCAATGATAATGTTGTACCACTTAAGCCACATCTCCACTTCCAGCTACTTTGGCTATTTTATTGGAGATAAGTCTCTCAGACATCCTTGTAACCATGACTTCAATTTGTGATCCTTTTGGGTTCCTTTATGTCAATCCCAGGGGACCACTAGCAGGCACAGGAGAAAGATTCTTATAAGGTTTACTAGAAGGACCATATTTCCCAGGAGAGGAAGACATGCATTTGTCTCTCTTCAGGTAGCAACAGGAGTGGGTGGGAAGGGTGGGTGGGTGGGGTTGGGGGGGAGAGACAAGAAGTTAGGGAGGTACATGCTCAGGTAGGTGTGGGTAGAGAGAGGGAGTGGTCAGTAGTATGAGGGAACTCTAGATCTAGGACCAGCTCAGGCTTGGGTGGAGTTGAGGAGCAAGGGTGGGGATAATACTAACTTTCCTCAGATTTCAGCCTTCTAAGTAGCTAAGATTATAGATATTTTCATGAGAGGCCAGTTACAATGTCCTCTTTTAAATTCAGATTATATTCTAATAAAATAATATGAAATAGAAAATTTGAAAATTTTAAGGCTGGATGTTCAGTCACTAATGTGGATGAGGACAGTGCAAATCCCAAAACAAACAGAAAATACTACACTTTGAAATTTGTAACACGCCTCATCTTAAGTATTGTGAATGTGAACACTTAGCCTATAATAAATTCACTTTAAGTTTTTCAAAGTAAGAAAACATTCTTGTGATGTAGAAAAACCGAGGACTAATGTGCAAACACTGCTTTTAAAGGATTCATATTGTGTTTCCTATAAAAAAAAAAAAAAAAAAAAACCAACCTCACTGAAGTAAACAGAATAGATTTTTCCCTTTTTGTAAATGTCACTGCAAAGTTCATGTATTTTATATTAACAATTATCATTGTGGGTAAGTGGAGAAAAAAACCAGAAGGCTAGATAATAGAATTTCCTGTGTCATCAACCAACAAGTATAAGCAAAAGTACATACCTATATAAGTTGTTTCTTTTACATTTTATGGATCTACATTTCTGAGTGTATTTTCTGTTAATGTTGTTTAGTAACACATAAGACCTCACTCTTCTGTGGATTTGTCTTTAGTGGAGACTTTAATGCTCTACTTGATTCAGGAATGTTTCTTCTCCCATAAGAAGGCTTTATGCTTTTCCAGCCCACATCTCATGCTCTGACCAGGAACTTCTAGGGTAAAATCACACAGGTTCTTTTCTGACTCTCTCATTTGGCTTCTCTCCAAGCCATGGTTCCAGAATTTTTATTCATTGTCCAAAGCAAGAAAGAATGAAAGGATCTCTGATGAGATTCTTTCATTTCTCACTCTTTTTGGCATTCCATTTTATGAACCTAATTGTGTCCAAGTTTGAAGAACAGGAAAAAAAAAAACATTCAGCTTCACAAACATGCTTCTACAAAAGCTAAAGATGGCTTGGATTTAGCCGATTATCAATTCTTGCCTTCTAAGTTAAGTGCAGATTTGCTTTAGTTTGTTTTCTCTTTTTTTGTGGGGGTGGGGGTGGTCCTGTCGTGGGTCCTGTACTATGGGCCTGGGCGCTGTCCCTCAGCTCAAGGCTAGCGCTCTACCACTTGAGCCACAGCGGCACTTCCGGCTTTTTTCTTTTTGTTTATGTGGTGCTGAGGAATCGAACCCAGGGCCTCATGCATGCAAGGCAAGCGCTCTAACACTGAGCCACCTTCCCAGCTACTGTTTCTCATTTTTTAATGTCAGGACAAAGTTGTCCCACTTGTTATGTGATTCAATGACACCTAGGAGGTAACTTCTCATGGAAGGTAAAGGTTGGCTAGAAACTGGTCAGACATCACATTCTCATACATAACATTAGACTATCCTAATGATGTTTTACTGGAATTGGTGACATAGTGTGGTCAAACATAACTTTGACTATTGTACAGGACTGAGTGTGATATAAGTACTCTCTGTAAATACTCTTGGACTGCTTTGTGGTATTTGTCTTTCTTGAAACTTAGGCTGTACTTGATGGTATTTATAGAAATCTGTTTTTCTCTAAGGTACATACAAGTGTAGAAGTGCTGGACCATATTTCTATGTAATTCTAAATTTAGTTCTTTTTAGGACTCTTTGTCCCATCTTTGATAGTTTTACATACCAGAGAGAAATGCACCAAGATTCACATTGTTGGCACATCTTTCCTACCTTTTGTTAGACTTTGGAAGGATTTTTGTTGTTTTGTTTAAAACTATGGCCATACTAATATGTGTAAAATAGTTACTTTATAGTAATTTTGATTTGAATTTTTCTCATGACTATTGATACTTTTATATTTTAATCAGCTATTTTTGTATGTCCTTTTTAGAAAATTCTCTTCAATCTTTTTACCCATTTTCAAATTAGTTTTTTTTGTGTGGGTTTCTTATAGGATTTTCTTTATATTTTCTAATTCAGATTTGTTAAGAAGTTATATAAAGACATATGCAAATATTTTCTCCTACCATTCATTTGCTTCTTCGTTGATAGTACTTTTCAGTAGACAAGGTTTTCATTGTATGCACTTAATCTTGTTTAGTTTTGGATTTATTTTTTACTTTTTATTCATTCATTTATTTTAGGAATTTTTGGTTTTTGGTTTTTTTTTTTGGTCAGTTTTGAGGCCTGAACTCTGGGCCTGGGCGATATTCCTCAGCTCTTCTGTTCAAGGCTAGCACTCTACCATTTAAACCACAGCACCCACTTCTGACTTTTTCTGCTTATGTGGTGCTGAGTAATGGAACCCAGGGCCTCATGCATGCAAGGCGAGCACTCTACCACTGGACCACCTTCCCAGCCCTTATTCATTTATTTATTTATTGTGAGTCATGGGGTTTGAACTCTGGGTCTGAGCTTGTCCCTCAGCCCATGAGTTCAAGGCCAGCACTCTACCACTTGGGACACTGCTCCACTTCTGATTTTTTGGTGCTTCATAGGAGATAAGAGTTCACAAGTTTTCCTTACCAGGCTGGCTTTGAACCATGATCCTCAGATCTCACCCACCTGAGTAGTTAGGTGTACAGGTGTGAACCACCAGAACCTGGCATTTGTTTGTTTGTTTCTTTGTTGCATGAGTCACTTTTGGTGTCCTATTTAAGGATTTACTGTCAAATCTAATGCCATAAGGCTTTCTTCCTCTCCTGTATTCTCCTCTTCCTTTCCCTTTCCCTCTTTTTCCCTTCTCTCCACTACTCTCTCGTCTCCTCTTCTTCCATCTTTTCCCTGACCTTTGGCTTCCCTTCTCTCCCTCCTCCACTCATTTTCTTTTAACTTTTTGTCTGAGATGAAGACTTTCCAGTATTCACAACAATTAGGTTTCTAACTTAGAAACACATGTAATACACATACCTGACTCCACCATGGTTTTCTTGAGCTACTATTGGAGCGTGAACTCCAGGTCTCACAGACAGTCAGCTTCCTCACTCACTGTACAAATAGGAATGCCAAGGGCACAGGTGCCTCCCAATCCCATTTCTTTACTAGGCCTCTGTAGATAAGCAGAAGGGTTGGGCTGGGAAGGTGGCTCAGTGTTAGAGTGCTTGTCATGCATGCATGAGGCCCTGGGTTCGATTCCCCAGCACCACGTAAGCAAAAAGAAAAAAAAAGCTGGAAGTAGTGCTGTGGCTCAAGTGAAGAGTGCAAGCCTTGAGCTAAAGAGCTGAGGGACAGCACCCAGGCCCAGAGTTCAGACCACAAGCCTAGCCCCTCCTCCCCCCAAAAAGCACAAGGGTGAACAGTGTGATGGAAGGGGTTAAGTGAGCAACTAGCTAAATCTTGCAATGTGAAGTCCACTGTCCTTATCTTGTAAATGGAATCATAGGAAGGATTTAAAGATTCTTTTTTTCTATTGTGAAAATACTGTAAAGAGGAGTTTTTATTTTTAACTATTGTAATAAATACTGAAATTGTTGAAGCCACAGGAAGCCTGAGGTGAAGCACTGTTCTCAGAGAGATTTCTTCAGATACCTGTACAGATGGGACTTCAGGCAAAATGTTTTCTATACTCATAATTTCTTTCCTGTCTCTGTTCTCACATATGCTGAGGACTCAGTTCTGATTGAAAGACATTTCACGTATGTTCTATGCACTACTTTCTTTTCTCCTATGTGAGTCAGTTCTCTGATGAACATGAGGTATTCCTTTCTGATCAAAGGATTTCCACATTTGAAATATTTTTAAGATTAATCCACTGTGTGTGTCCTATGAACTTGGATTCATGAACAATTGATAAAGGACTTTCCACAATTGTTACATTTGTATTTTCTCACTTGTGTCTGTTCTCTTATTCAAACTGTTAGGTCTTTTCCTTGAAAACCTTTCCATTTATTTTTCCTACATAGGATTTCTCTCCTCTTTGTGTGTGAGGGTGTGTGTGTGTGTGTGTGTGTGTCTGTGTCTGTGTCTCTGTGTTTTGTGTGTTCTGTGACGAACCCTGAGCTGTGTGTTGTGGTTGGGGGACTCCACATCTGCTATATCATAAGGTCCCTATCCTGTATTGGTTCTGTATTGCAATTTCAATTTTCTTACAGATCAAAGACTTTCCCATTTGGCTCAATCCTAAGTTATTTCATTTGTGTGAATCAACTTATGTGTGTTAAGCTGTGACCTCCAGGTCTTTCTACACTGGTTGCATTCATAAGGTTTCTCTCCTGTGTGTGTGCTCCAGTGGACAGTAAAGTGTATATTCTGGGTGAAAGACTTTCCACACACGTTACATTCATAAGTTTCTTTCCTGTGTGCTTTCTCTGGTGGACAGTAAGGTTTGAATTCTGGGTGAAAGACTTTCCACACACGTTATATTCATAAGGTTTCTTTCCTGTGTGTATACTCTGATGGACAGTGAGAGTTGACTTCTGGGTGAAAGACTTTCAACACAAGCTACATTCATAAGGTTTCTTTCCTGTGTGTGTTCTCGGGTGGACAGTGAGGTTTGACTTCTTGGTGAAAGACTTTCCACACATGTTACATTCATAAGGTTTCTCTCCAATGTGTGTTCTCTGGGGGACAGTTAAGTGTAGCTTCTGGGTGAAAGAATTTCCACACACATTACATTCATAAGGTTTCTCGCCTGTGTGTCTTCTCTGGTGGACAGTAAGTGGTGACTTCTGGGTGAAAGACTTTCCACACATGTTACATTCATAAGGTTTCTTTCCTGTGTGTCTTCTCTGATGGACAGTGAGTGTTGACTTCTGGGTGAAAGACTTTCCACACCTGTTACATTCATAAGGTTTCTTTCCTGTGTGTGTTCTCCGGTGGATAGTAAGGTGAGAATCTGGGTGAAAGACTTTCCACACATATTACATTCATAAGGTTTCTCTCCTGTGTGTGTTCTGTGGTGGTCAGTAAGATATGACTTGCAGGTGAAAGATTTTCTACAAATGTTACATTCATAAGGTTTCTCTCTAATACGTGTTCTCTCGTGGATAGTAAGGCATGCCTTCTTGGCAAAAGACTTTCCACACACGTTACATTCATAAAGATTCTTTGCTGTGTGTGTTCTCTGGTGGATAGTGAGGTTTGACTTCCAGGTGAAAGACTGTCCACACAGGTTACATTCATAAGGTTTCTTTCCTGTGTGTGTTCTTTGGTGAAGAGTAAGGTTTGACTTCGAGGTAAAAGACATTTCACACGTGTTACATTCAAAAGGTTTCTCATCTGTGTGTCTTCTCTGGTGGACAGTAAGGTATGCCTTACTGGTGAAAATCTTTCCACACATTTTACTTTCATATGCTTTCTCTCCTGTGTGTGTTCTCTGAGGGACAATAGGGTGTGTCTTCTCAGTGAAAGTCCTTTCACATTGTTTATATTCTTCAACTACAGAAGACACAGGAGGACTATATACAGCATACATCTTACCAGGCTCACTGAAAACACTCATGTTCTGACACCCAGTGACCTTTTCTGTCCTCATCCCTAAGGAGTTCCCATTATTCTTAATCAGTTCTGACTTCTGTTTTGAGCTCAAATTAAAACTTCTTATAAGTCTCACTTTTTCCTCCCCTGGGTTGCTATTCATGACTGCTACTTCAGAGAGATATTTAATGTGACTTTTCTGACAGGTGCTAATCATATCCTCCATTTCTTGGACATCTAAAATGCATAACAGAAAAATAGACAAAAACATAAATGAGATCCATAAATTCCTTACTGTAAAGGTATTTTCTCACATTTTAACTGTTACAAGTTTTTCAAATAACAAAGCATTGTTTTATGCAGAATATAAACTTTTCTCTGCAAGGTACTAACTATGAATGTAATACTGACATTTTACAATGGAAAACAATGTTTTCCATAATCTGTATTTCAGATTTTTCTATTTTTTTCTAGGAAATATTTACTGAAATTATTATTAATGGTTACATTCTGAATCTCACTCTATGCCAAGCACAACTCATAAGCTATTGTCCTGATCAGAAAATAGCAGCACTACCATTCTCCTATTTTCCTCCTATCTGCATAATACTAGTTTAAAAGAAAATGAGATCTCCTTTTGTACATTTCTTATTGTCTTTATCTCTTAAAGAATGACTTCTCCACAGACAAAGAGAATTGCTAACATTAACTACACTGGCACACCAAATTCTGTTTGTCTCCACTTGAATTCTGGATTGACAATTCCTTGATACAAAGGATCACCTAGTTCTCTCCCACACATGACTCAAGGGCACTAGAAATACTATCGCTCTGTACAGCTCAAGATAAGCAGACCAACTGGGCTCTGAACCTATCATCACCGTTCAAGATGCTTTAACTCACCTGTAAAATTCTTGTCTGAGGCTTCTCTTATCCGTGGATCTGCACCTTGCTCCAGCATTACAATCAATTTAGGTTTAGGAACATAGAGCCCTGTGATTAAGAAATAGTGGAGAATTATTGCTCTTGCTCGGTCATCATTAATGTAAGTTCGCAGACATCCTGTTCACAAGGTTGCTCCTAAATCTGGTTTCTCAATTGTTCGGGGCGGGGGGGGGGGGTGGGGGGGGATTGATGGGTCCGGTTGTGGGCCTGAACTCTGGGCCTGGGCGCTGTCCAGCTGATCTTCAGCTCAAGGCTAGCACTGTGTCCCATGAGCCAAAACGCCAATTGCGGCTTTTTTTATTTTCTGATTATGTGGTGCTGAGGAATCAAACACAGGGCTTCATGCATGGAAGGCAATTCCTCTACCACTTAGCCACCTTCCAAGCCCATGGTTTCTCAATTCTTAACAGCTCCATGGTGGAGTAGCTTCCAGCTTTGGGTTTATTTTGCCAACTGTGTGGCTTGAACTCAGCTCTTTTGCTAAAAGCTAGCACTCTACTAGTTTGTGTCTTGGCTACATTTCTAGTTTTTGAATGGTTAATTGGAGATAAGAGTTTCATGGTCATTTTTCTACAGTTGCTGGTTTCAAACTGAAACCTTCAGATGTCAGCCTCCAGAGTATCTAGGATTTGTAGCTTGGAGCACTAAACCCTGTATCAGGTTGGGCTTACAAATACACACTTTCCAGAGCATACTGTCATTAGTAATGTATGTTCTATTCTGGACTGTAGATCCACCTATAATAATTACCCAAGTCTGGGAAGTCAGTCTCCTATTAGTGGATCATAGCTTAGAACTTTTGTCCAACTACTGATTTGCCTTCTTAAAGAAGGAGAATAAAATTAGCTCTTGAGTTACATAAAATGAAGTTAAAGTTTCCCTTAGAAAAAACTGACACTTCCCATGGCCTGGAATGTTTTTTTTTTCTTCAGAAAATGTAATACACCTACATTTAGCAGGTGAGATCAGAAGAGGCAGGCTTGAAACCAACCTGGGCACAGAAAAACAGAATATACCCCAAAACAAAAGTGAAAATAGAATTGTAGCTCAAGCACTAGTGTGAAAGACAAACAACAACAAGCTCTCAGACTCAAATTTGACTGGCTTTTATACTAGCAGTTTTTTACCTGGGAATGGACTGGAATCTTCTCCCTAAATAGCATAAATAGTCTAATGTCTACTAAAATAAAAGCACTTGATCTTCCAAGTAAAAATAACCTTTGCTCACCCAAGGACATGAGGTTGCTATAGGTCTCCAGCATTACATCTCTATGAAGGGTCCTCTGACCAGGATCCAGATCCTGCCACTCCTTCCAGGTGAAGTACACAGCCACATCATCAAATGACATCAGCTTCTGTAATGGCACATTTCCATCAAGAAATTAGACCTGGGTTATGAGAATTCCAACCTGGAATTTCATTATGCTGCAGGTATGATTTTGTCTTACACAAAATGTTTGCAGCTAGCTTTGTTATTTATTCACTGGGAGAATTAAATACCAAACTAGAAATATTTGACAATACATAAACCTGGTCATTAAAATACACAGATTTGCAGGGCGCTGGTGGCTTATGCCTGTAATCCTAGCTATTCAGGAGGCTGAGGTCTGAGGATCAAGGTTCAAGGCCAGCCTAGGCAGGAAAGTCCATGAGACACTTATCTCCAATAAACCACCAGAAAATGAAAGTAGCACTGTCACTCAAGTGGTAGCACTCACCTTGACCTGAAGAGCTGAGGGAAAACAAACAGACCCAGAATTCAAGCCCCAAGACCAAGCAAAAATTACAGTTTCTATAATGTATGAAAACACATTTCTGCTGCTAGCAGTAGAGACAAGATAAAAACTCTAAGGAGACAATAATCTGGCATGATGACATTAAGTCTAAGGAGGTGTCTGAAAAATTATATTATCATTTTTGATAAAATTTCAATACATACCAGGGTAAATATGAATTAAAAAAATATTTTTCCTGCATTTACACATACTGCTTCACCATAAATCCTATTTAGACCTTCTATTAACAAGTACTCTCAAAAGCAATCAGCACCCATTCAGGATATCACATGGAATACAGAACATAGAACACTGCTAGATATGAAAAGCAATGTCCACATGAATATTAAAAAAAAACAGTAACAGTACTCCAGAAAGTAACTAATGATGGATTAGGCCCTTATAAGATTTAATTGAGTTCCCACATAAAAATATGCCTGGTTTACCATGTTTGGTTTAAATACTAAATATTGAAATGTGGTCATAAATACCCTGATATTTCCTTCCTATGTAAAAAAGAACTGCTACCATGAAATTTTGTAAACTTTGCCTACATTCTATAATACAAAATATAGGTGCAGGGAAAAAAATGTTCCTTGACAAGGTTTTCATTTTAATAGGCCTTCATGGAAGGTGAAGGCCAATATAGAGAGGCTCAATGAACATTCAAGATGACAAAAATGATAAATATGACCAAATGTTCAAATGTATTACATATTCCTGAGTTGTTTCTCCAGTAGATCTCTAAGGATATATTTTCACTTCTGTTAGTTAATAGTGAAATTCCTCAGAGATCAAAATCAATTAGTGAGCAAACATCTGTGAGATTTTGGGACAAGTGATATTTCTAATAGAGAACATCTCAACACTGCATTATTTTTTTTCAACATTAGTTCCAATCTTATACTGGCAGTGAATTAAAATATTCAAAAGTAGTGGGAAGGAAAAACAAAACTGAATACCACATCAAATGAAGTTAGACCAACACAAAATCAGAAGAAAACAGATTTTCTTGTAGTGTACCAATTGATAGAAGGAAGTACTTTTCTGTAGGGAACTCTGAAGTTGAGCTGAAGGGGGAAAGGTTTGAGAGGTTGGAATTCCAACCTGACAGCATTGAGAGAACTAAGAGCTGGCGGCAGATGGCTTAAAGAGAATTCTGGAGAGGGTTAAGAGACTGGAGTACAGGCCTTTTCCTTACTGTTGGAAAGATAGCATCTGAAACTGAGGTGCTATTGACCTTGAAGGCTAGGTAAGGTGAACTCCATGTCTGGATTTTCTCTGGGCAAGAGTCTTCTGTCTCAGGAGAATAAGGAAACATGTTTTCCTCACAAACTGTTGTGGCTCTGATTGTACTATTAATATAGATACTTCATTTTTGCATGTTATTAATGGTAATCTTCCCTGTGTGCACTCAAGGAACTATGCTTGCTTGCTGTTGCTCAGGGACAAAGTGCCAGACAGCATTCAGAACCCTGGTTTCCTCTAAGTCTATCTGTTTATGTTTTTGTGTATCTCTAATTTTTGCTTGTGGAATCCTGTAGAACTCTCTAGGCAACAATTTTCCTATACTACGGGTAAGAAAAATGTCAATCCTAAGAGCCATATCAGCAACGTAAAACTGATCACTAAGAAAACCTTGTTCCAGATAGATCATTTGAAGAAAAGAAACAACTGAGACACATATGGAGGAAAGAGGGAATGAAAAGAGAAAAAAAATGATAGAAAGATAGATACAAAGAGAGAGAAAGAGAAAAATAACCAACACTAGCGGGTAGAAAATCAAAAATTGAGAGAGAAAATAGAGGAAAGAAATCTTGTGAGAATACTTTAGAGAACAAACAGGAATTTGTAGAAAGACCATAAAGCTTAGCAACAAATACAGGCAAAGTTTCAAGTAAGACCAAGACCATGAAGCAGTCCAAGAACTATATATGGAGAGTAATTTAAGTACATATAGGTTAATTATTCCTTAAGAACATACGAAGGTGTGTATGACCACACTATTTCAGCAATTCCAGGAAAATTTCATTGAGATAGTTTAATGTTACTCATGTGGATGTGATCTGGTGGCAATCTATCCTTCACCTTCCCTGAGAAGTAACCTGCTTGGTGTCATTACATCACATAACAGGTGTGACTA